TTTACCTTCTCTCCCTTGCCCACAATTTCTGCTATTATTAACATCTTGTGTTAGAATGGTACATTTGTTACAATTTATGACCCAATATTAATATATTATTATTAACTGAAGTTCGTAGTTTACATTGAGGTTCATTCTTTTTGTTGCACAATTCTGTAGGTTTTGACAAGTGTATTATGTTGTGTATCTTCCATTATAGTATCATATAGAATAGTTTCACCACCTGACCATTTCATTTTTATCTCTGTATTCCATGCCTAGCACAGGACTTGTAAATGTTATATGAATGTGCAATAACATCTCATCTAAAATTAAATATGAGCTATCAAATTCAGTACATTTTGAAGAACATTTAAAGAAAAATCTACCACAACCAGATCTTATCCTAGGAATAAAAGGATGGTTTAAAATTAGAAAAATGTGTTATATCTCATTAGTCTGTCAGATAAGAAAAATGATAAAACAGTGTATAGAGAAAATCAAAATTCAAAGCATATTCGTGATTTTCAAAAAACTAAAAATTAGAATGATTTATTAACAAAAAGTGTTTCAATCTAATAATCAGTATTATGTTCAAAGATGAAACACTATAGGCATCTTCTAATGGGAACAAAACAAGCATAGCAACTCTATTATTATTTTGTATAATTCTAGAAGTTTTAGCTAACATGGTAAGATGAGAGAAATAAGAGTTTACCATTTTGAGAAAGAGGCTCCTATTATTACTGAGATTGTAGAAACCTCCAAAAAAACTGAAAATCTATTAAAATTAATGAGTTCAACAGGACAACTGAATACATAATAAAGATACAAAAGTGAACAGCTTTCTTATATATTGGAGAAACTGGTTAGAAAAATTAATGGGATAAAAGGATACTATTCATAAATAACAGGCTTCACAAGAAACATGTAGGACCGTTAAGAAAAAAGTCAAAATTGTAGTATGACAAAAATCTACTTAAGATTTTTATCTTAATGTTTTAATAGTGAAAGTTTGCAAACAACCTAAATGTTCACCAAAAAGAGAATGGTTTATTATTTATACCTTATCCTGTTCCAAAATAACTTCAAGGTAGCTTTCACAATAGACTCTATGACAAAAATTAGTGAAGAATTCAGGCAGAGAGAAATTTGAGGCCTGGACCACTGAGTTTTTTAGCAGCCAAAGTAAAGAAATGATCATGAGCAATTATATGATTCATATTTATACCAAAAAATATTGAGTTGATTGCAATTAACAGCTGTTCCTAGTACTGAAACCAAAGAGAATTTTCTCATGGGTCTCCAAGAGAAGATTCTGTGCTGAGTAGAGAATGATCATTTTGACAACCTAATGGAACAACACCCAACTTTATAAAACTGTTTCTTATGAAATTCCTTGTAATGGGCCACACAAAACTAGTGAAGAGTTTGGTGAAGTATTTGCAGTGGGGCAAGGAGTGTGTGATGGTTATGGCTGGGATAAACATAAGGATAGTCCAATGCACTGCTCTGAGGGACTGCTCACTGGAGTAATACATTTTAGAGACTAAAATTGTGGTTCTCAGCTGATGTTGTATCACCCTGGTATCCTGTGAATCTTCACAGATTGGCCACTGAGTTTTTATCAGTGTGTTACATATATTTTTGCTACAGCTAAGGATCCACACTGCTAAGAAGTCTGTCAGATGGTGGGGTGGGATGCAAATGCAGCAGCCACCAAGGATGCCAGGCAAGGAGGCGAGAGATGCCACTTGGGCAGACACTGAAAAGAATTTAACTTGGATGGACTGAACAGTCTCCATAAATATTCTCTCAAATTTGGTAAGTGCTGTGGAGAGCAAGTAGGCTGTGTCTGTCAGATATAGGTCTATATGCTTAAATAGTTGACTAATGGAATTAACCCCGATGAAGGTTGAGAATGTTCATGAGGTGAAATGCTTGAATAGAAAGCTAGCTCACCTAAAGGTTTTCTTCAAAAAAACAATTCGAGGCTTGATCCAACACATGTTAGAGAGGGCAGTCAAGGTTCCATATTTCTCCATAGTAGAGCTTAGCCATATTAATTTTAAGTTTAGAAGAACTGAGTTTTTTTTTAATGAATGATACCAAACCTTGACCTAAGTAACAGAAAAAATAAAGTTATAAGGTATCCATATAACTTCCTGGTAAATCCTTCAAGGTAAATGGTGACCAAGTAAACAGTGACCAGAATGATTTGGGAAGGTTTGGAATCTGAGTCCCAGCTTAACCTCTCTTTGAGTCTCAGTTTCTTCATCTGCAAAATAAGGATATTAGTCCTCACTTTAGGGCTAACCGGTTGTTAAGATTTAAGTAGAATAAAATCCCTGGTGGACGACTCTAAGCCATGTTGTGTTTGTGCCTCCCTGGCCAGTGGTGTGTTTTTTGCTAATAGAGGGTTTTTGTTTGCTGAGATACAGTGCAGATAAGACCTTGTAAATTATCACATTGATTGGTAGGGCAGTCAGATTCTTTCCTTTCAGGTGTCTGAGGTGGACTTTTTAAAAGTTATAACCAAAGTTCGAAAGCCTTTTGTTCAACCTCGCCCTACTCATTCTGGTCATCTCTCAAGTCCAATCACAGGAGCAGGTGTCTGGTGATAGCTGAGCCAGGGGTTAAAGACAAAGAGCAATTGTCCTGAGAGTGGTCACATCTGGGCAACTCTATCTCATGCTATATTTACTACTGAGTTGGGTACACAGATAAATTTTGAAGACTTTTCCATTTGACTTTATACTCACAGGAGAGCTCTTTGTCATGGCTCCAAGAAGACCTTGCCCAACTTGCTCTGGTCCTGGCATTTAGGTTTTCAAAGAAATTAATTTCATGATATGTAGAATAAAGTTAAAAGACCACAGTGTGAAGCGTCCAAGAAAATAACGAGGAGATAGGAAGAATGTGAATGTTGGTGAAATTAGTGCCTCCCACTAGGCAATCAAATCAATACTTCAAGGAGTTAGCATTGTTACCTCTGCCAGAGTTTGTTTTCCTTGAAAGAAAGGAACAACGCCTGAGATGGGGACTGTGGAGATAGAGATGATGGCTGACTAGAGATGATTGTAGACTAGTGGTACCTTTATCTTACTAATACTAACTACCTTTCAGTATTTTGATATAATGAACTTTCTATCTCTCTCTTTTTTTTTTTTATTTAAATTTTTTAGACAAGGCAACCCTTGGTTGACCTCACAGATTACAAGGACCTTGTCAGTTTACAATCCTTTATTTTTTATTTTTTATGCCCGGTCTTGCTAGGTGGTCTCCCATCCAAGTACTAACCAGGCCCGACCCTGCTTAGCTTCTGAGAGCAGACGGGATCGGGCTTGTTCAGGGTGCCATGGCCATAGACAGTCCTCAGTTTTCCATCTCCATTCTCCTTGGTGATTTCACCTGTATCACAGCTTCCACACACACACACACACGTATATACATAAGCATACATGCATACATTGTGTGCGTATACACAAATGCCATAACTACTATAAAGGATAAATTTTTAAATGTGTTAATAAAATTGATTTTCATGTTTAAATGTTTGAGTATGACCATACTAGAAGGCATAAAGAAGTAATCAGAAGCTTTTACCAACATATAGAATCACCTAGAATGTAGACTGTTAAAATGTAAACTGTCAGGTATATTAGCATTACTCTCAGTGATGTGGTTTCAGCCGTGGTGAACACCTCATGGTAAAGATCTGAACAAAACAAAGTACTATCTTCCCATGATACATGGAAGTTCCCTTCCTAGAAAATTTAGCATATATTAAAACCATGTTAAAAAATACTTTGTGTTTGTAGGTAAAACCATGTTAGGGACTAGGCTGAGATAATAAATATTTAAAGATTCCATGGCAGATCTTCACTATGCAGAAACTTCCCACTAAAATGTTGCAGGACACTCAGTGTGCCTGGCCTCTGCAAGTGGCACCTACTGATCATGACGAAGACCTCAGAGGGTGACCTGGTCCCTCTTGGGCTAACCGTTTTTCATGGCCTTATCAGCCAGATAGAAAAGCATAGCATGGCTGGTTGGCCTCACCCAAGGAATTCAGATCCATTGGACAGGCTCGCCACTTACTGAGAGGGATGTTTCTAGTGGCTTCCCTACTTCTCTACAGTGAATACCAAAGGCTATTGGACATTGGTTATTTTTTTTTCCTCTAGTTTTGTTGAACTGTCATTGACATATGACATTGTAAAAGCTTAAGGTGTACAACGTAATGGTTTGATATACATATGTATTGCCCAGTGATTACTGTAATAAGTTAGTTAATATCCATCACCTCGTATAGTTCTTTTTTGGTAATGAGAACTTTTAAGATCTACTCTCTTAGTAATTTTCAAATATACAGTACAGTATTGTTATCTATAGTCACCCATATTGTACATAACATCCCTGGAACTTACTGTTACCTTTTGACCACCTTCACCTGTTTTCCCCACCCTGGACACTGGTCATTGAAATGACTGTTTAGATTAGATGTCCTTTTAAGGTGATTCCAATGATAAGATTTTCTATTTCTTAATAATAATGTTTTTGACTTATTGTTTTTTGTTTTAATAAAATGTTATTTGCATTAACAAGTGTTAAGTAACAAAGATGCTTAGCACACTATGATTCTCTTCTGTGACCCTTTCCATTCTACACTCCCTGGCTAAATAAGCCTGTTCTTTGTCTGAGCTCAGCCACTTTTGACCCTCCCTTTCCTAGGCTGAGGCCCTTGCTGAGCTTACAGGCCCTTGTCTCCAGTGCATCTAAGAACTGGCCAGCCAGAGATATGGCAGTCTTTGCCAACCTGCTCAGTCTGCAGTAGAAGTCTCCATGATTATTCAGTGACTCATTTTTCCCCAGCATTACATGTAGGATACAAAGAGAGTGAATGTATACGAAAGTTTTTGTTGTTACCCTGCTTGATTCTTTTCTCTTAGGAATCAACTCCTAAAAGTTTAAAATTGAATTTTCACTTGTCTAATACCAAGTTTTATTTTTTATTTAAGGCTGTTTCTGATGCTTGGAAGCTATCCTTTCAGCCACAAAGATGGTAATAAATCTTTGCCTCCCACAGTTCAGACCAAGAATTTACTGCAACAAGGTAAACAAAATAAACATATAAATACATATATACATACATACATACGTACATACATACACGATATCTATTTGTCATGTTTTTCCCCATTTCCTGCCTTGGATAGTGAACTTAATTCATGCTTAATGTGCTTTCACCCTCCTTATTTTAGATTCCATCAGATGATATTTAGGTAAGCGAGGGTCAGGCTGTACCTCTAGAGTCAGACAGTTCCATTACAAGGTGAGCTGTGACTCGTTTTGTGGAAGGTCGTGTTCATTGTGTTTTTCCTTTCCCTCTGGTGATAAATTTTAATTTTGCTCAATGTCAGAGTGAAGGTAGGAATACTCTCTCCCCCAGTTCTTGTAACTTCAAATGCTAGAAATAATGGCTTGTATTTGTTATTTGGATTCTTTATGTGAATTAAGCTGCCTCCCCTTTTGTGTAAGAAGGGTATCTTTCACAGCTCAGAGCCTGGAATAAGGAGGCTCTAAGGGAAGAATTGGACCCCTCCCCTAATTTGGGGTTTCTGCACTCAGCGTACTATTTTAGGTTCCCAGATTAAGTTGACTTCTTCAGACAAAGATATGTTAAAATTTCCATTGGTTATAACAAGTATTAGAAGTATTAAAAGGAGAAAAAGCTATTCACAATCTTATCTTACAGCACATTCACTTTTAAATTTCCCTTTTTTTTTTTTTGTGGTCCTTTTCCCTGTGCACACACATGTGTCTTTTTTTAACAATGGCGTTCACCATTCATAGATTTATAAGAAGCTTGTTTGTTATACCTTCCTAGGGAAACTTGTTATAATGGTTATAATGGGTAGCCCAAATGCAAAATTGAGAACTTTAATGACTGTCTTTGTTTTTTATAAATCTGCATGTTTTCATCTTCTGAAATAAAAAGGAAAAAAACCCCACTAGTATATATGCCCCCTTTTCACAGAGATGTTATTTTGAAGGGATTTCGATTGGGTTAGGCAGAGTTTTGAGGATGAGCAGTACTTGGGTACACAGTTGCCCTCAGCCTTTAACCTGATCTTGGGTACCTGCAGAAAAACCCAGACGAATTCGATGTAATAGAGGAAGTTTTAAATGAGGAACTTCAGACTTTCTTTAAAGAGTTTTCTTAGAAATGGCAAGTTCTTGAAAACTAGCTGTCTTCATTTGGATCTCATCAAATCAATGTGTCTCGTACTGTCATTAAATCTAGATATCAGCTGATGGCTATGAAGTAGAAAATCTCATCTCTGAAGACCTCACAAAGAGAAGTCATGGTTTTAGGACAGAGTATTTCATTAAGCCACCAGTTTATGTGACAGTTTCTTTTCCTTTCAATGTGGAAATCTGTAGAATTAATATAGACCTCGCAGCTGGGGTAGGCCAGAATGTTACTGGCCTGGAAATGTACACATCCGCCTTATCCAGCAGAGGTTCTTGGAATACCCCTGAATGCCGGACCCCGGGCCCAGCTGAGCCATCCATCCCGGACAAGGAAGCGTTCACCTTGGTAGGCAAAGTCTTCTTGAAAAACCAGAGCCAAGTGGTGTTTAGCCACAGGGGTTTCAAGGCCAGGCCACCTTTTGTCCCGATGGAAGTCACACTCCCTTCTCCTGCTATCGTGGCCCAGGAGCTCTGGAATATGAGAAAACCATGTGGCCCATCTCAAGATCTGTATCACTCATGTGACAGGCAGTGGTATCCCTTGCATCAAGCGGTTGGAAGTGTGGGGTCAGCCAGCCAAAACCTGCTCACAGGAGGTGATAGACAGTGTCCTGCTGGTTGCTTCAGAGAGCCTCCCTCAGGACTTGGCTCTCCAGGCCCCGGCCTTGCCCATGGAGAGTGACTGTGACTCTGGGAGCCAATCTGAGGGCGAGCATGCCCCCTCCAACCTGCAGGAACTGGCTGAGGTAATTCAGGATGTGCCTGAGGAGTTCCTGGATCCCATCACCCTGGAGATCATGCCTTGCCCCATGCTGCTGCCCTCAGGCAAGGTCATCGACCAGAGCACACTGGAGAAGTGTAACCGCAGTGAAGCCACATGGGGCCGAGTGCCCAGTGACCCTTTCACAGGGGTAGCCTTTACTCCACACTCCCAGCCCCTGCCTCACCCCTCCCTGAAGGCCCGTATCGACCATTTCCTGCTCCAGCACTCCATTCCTGGCTGCCACCTGCTTGGAAGAGCACAGACTGCCTTGGCAGTGACCCCTTCTTCCATTGCTCTGCCATCTCGGAAAAGGAAGATGGAGCAGGCTGAACATGCCCTAGACGGTAGCCTTGGTGTAAATGCTTCTTGTTTTTCTACCACAAGCCTTCTGGTCTCACCCACTACCTCAGAGCACACTGCTAAGAAAATGAAAGCTGCCAGTGAGCTTGGTCTGACACACATGGACTGCTCAGCAGGTAATATACCATCTTATGTCCGTGCCCGTTGTCATTGCTGTCCCTCCCTGGTGATAACTTGGCATTACTGCCCTTCGTTTTATGCTTTGCCAGCTTAAATTATCCCAAAATATACTGGCTTAAAGCACCACATTCATTATCTCATAGCTTCTCTAGTCAGGAATCAAGGTGTCACTTGGCTGGATGATCTGCTTCAAGGTCTTCCAAGGCTGCTATCAAAGTGTCGGTGGGGCTGCAGTCATATCAAGGCTTGACTGGGGAAGGATTCACTTCCAAGCTCATCCACGTGGTTGTTGCAGGATTCAGTTCCCTGCTGAATTATTGCACTGGGGCTTCTCTTCTTTGTTGGCTTGTGGCCAGAGTGCACTCAATTCCTTGCCTCTCAAGGTCAGCATGGGAGCTGTGTCCACCAGAGTGTGCAAACAAATTGGAACTCAGTCTTGAATAATCTAATCTTGAAAGTGTCATTCCATCACTTTTGCTGTATTCTCTTAGAAGCAAGTCACGTAAATCCAGCCTACACTCAAGGGCAGGGGTACCCCAGGGCAGGAGTGTCCAGAGGTGGGGTTCCTTGGGAGCCATTTCAGACACTCTCACTGTTTTAATCTAGGATTGGTGGTTGAATTTTGTGTAATACCTTTTCAGTATCAATGGAGGTGAAATTATGATTTTTTTATCCTGAGATCTTTTAACGTGAGAAAGTACATTAATAGACTTTCAGTATTAAACCATTATTAAATTCCTAGAGTAAATTTCGTTTGGTCATGCTCTTTTTAATGGGCTGCTTGGTTCTGTTTGCTAGTGTTTTATTTAGGATTTTTACATTTATTAGTGAGATGGGACTGTTCTGTGTGTGTGTGTGTGCGGGCATGCGCACATATGAGTGTACAAACCATATTTGATCGGGTTTTAGCATGAATGATTTATTTGCTTCATAAGACAAATTAGGAAATTTTCCTATTCTATACTCTGAAACAATTGAATCGTATTAGCATCATTTACTCTTTACACATTTGGTATTATTCCCTGTGATTGTCAGTGTTTGGTGCTTTTGGAGCTAGCTCTTTGACAGCTTTTTCTTTATGAAAATTTGTCTGTTTAGATTTTATTCTTTAATTTCCTCTCTTACTCTAAAAGGCCTGTGCAGGTAGTAGTTAAAGTTTACATTGTGTCTTCTTTGAATTTGAGTGTAAATTGTAGTTACCATGACCCCCAGAAACTCTTGGAAGTATCTGAGGTGCAGTGGCCAAGACAAGGAGAAAAGTCCTTAGACCCAGATATCTGTGGAGGTCCCCAGTGGTATTAGCCTTGACAGATTTGTTGGTGACACAGGATCATGCTGACCAGTGCTCCTTCAAGGGCCCAAGCTGATATCTGTGTCCTACGAACTGTAGACAAAACGTTTCATTTCCCACTTTGGGCAGTTTAGAAACCAGGCAGGTCTCTGGTTCCTTTCTCGGGCAGCTGTCACCCTCCTCCATTGCTTTCACCGTCAGCCCATTGCTTGGCTTTCTGTAGACCACACAGACAAGGCCCCTTGATTGTGGAGTGGGCAGAGTGAGGTCTTAATTGTTCTACTTGATAGTAACTGCTTTGCTTTACCTAAAGCAAATTTACAAATGCCTCGAGTGCAGGCCAGTGGCCCCGCAGAGCGGTGGGATCCCTGGAGGGGAGGAGATGGGGAAAGATCAGACTAAGGCTGCTGGGGAGAGAACAGGGCAGGGAGCTGGACATTTGCTTGCCTCAGTCATTTCTTTGGCTGGCAGGGAGGTCTTCAGAAAGTAGAGTGTGGTTCTGCTGGTGAGCCACAAGGTGGCCTCTGCCTGCCCCCAGTTTATCCAGGAGGAGGAAAGCTAACACAGAGCCCGGAACCCTGAAAACGGGTGGAATAGTAGCAGCTGCCAGGGTCCCCAGGCTTTAACTCCAGTATTGTCATCACAATCCACTAGTAGATATTAGGGAAGACTTTATATTTGTGTCTATTTGAAGCTGGAAGTGCCATTTTTGTAGTCCTCAGCCAAACTTCTCTCTGGATATTGCGGTCTGTGCATCTCTTGTTAGATCCAGTGTCCCACGAGCAGAAGCTGTCACAAAGCTTGGAAATTGCCTTGACGTCGACTCTTGGCTCCATGCCCTCCTTCACAGCACGGCTGACCAGGGGACAGCTCCAGCACCTTGGCACAAGAGGAAGCAGCACTTCCTGGAGGCCAGGCACCAGTTCGGGTAACATGGGGCCTGTCCACCTCCTTGGAGCCCTTGAGTGGTGCACTGGGCCATGCCTCTGGGGCTCTGTGGATTTCCATGCCCAGCTCCTTAGCCCCAACACCCAGGCCGGCAGAACCTGGTTTCTTTCCTTTTCCAGGGAGAGCTGAGGGGCAGCCTGTGAAGTTTAACTCTTCACAGGAAAGGCTTTCTTTAGTCAACTCTTAGTGATTCTGTGGGCTTAGGGTTTCGCTACCCCTGCTGTGTTTTATGGTAAGATCTAATGCTAGTTGTCTGTCCTTAGGACTTTTGTTTACTTCTCCTCTTTAGTTTATTTTTTTTATCTGTCTCACATCTGATGTCTGGGGTACTTTATGTAAATGTGTAGTTCGGGGTTGAGTATGTCATCTTCATCCCTTAATAACATTTTCTTAGTCTTAGAAAAGAACAGTGATAGTTTACTGAGCCAATTGCCTGAAATGAACCTGGGACCACACTGGATGGTGGAATCAATTAGACTACAAAGTGAGAGGACTTGACTGGAATGCTGGGGCATCTTCTCCAACATGCAGCCTGGTGGGACTGATGATAAGGCGTACTTGCTTCCTCCTGCCTAGCCAGAGCCAGGCCCTCCTGTGGTTTGGATCGCAGGCCATCTTGCCTCTTCTGCCTCTCGTCCCCACCTCCTTGTCTCTCTAATTATGTTTGCCATCCTAACCATTCTCAAGAACCTGCCATGTTCAAATAACCAGCAATTTCCATGACCCTAAATAGGACAGTCACTTATCCTCTCAGCACTGTCTGATGTGGCTAACCAGCCTTTTTTTCTTGAAACACCTTCTCTCTTGGCCTTCCAGATATTCTGCTCTTTTTCTTCCTGTTTTCAGTGGTCCCTCTTGCCATTGCCGACTTTTCCTTCTCTTCCAGGCTCTGGTCCTGAACCTTATTCTTTCAGTCCTCTCTGTCACCCAAGTGAGAGCCCATTTGGCCAGTGACTGGCCAGGCTTATCTGTAGCTTCCACCTCTCCTTGGAACTCAGACCCCGACCTCCCAGACAGCCGCTTGGCCCCTCCACTTGGGAAAGTCGTGAATCTCTTGAGTGAACATTCTAACTCGAAACTTCTCCAAAGGTTCTCCCCCACCACGTCCATCATCCCGTCAAGGGTAAGGAGCAGCATCCTCTGCCCTTCTGTCAGGCCTATAACTTGGAGGTCATCCCTGGTTTTCCCTCAGTGTCTTCACACTGGCTTTCTGTTCTTCATCAAGTCTTGTTCATATTCCTCCAAAGTAGATCTCAGAGCGGTCCTCTGCTCCACTGCCCTTGCTTCACCCTGGCCCCAGCTTCTGCCATGCTTCCCCGGACTTCTGCAGCAGCTCCTACTGTTCCCACACAACCATGCTTTCTTTACCATAGCCCATCATCCTCACAGGAGCCAGAGAGACCTTATAGTGTAAACCAGATCATGGCCCTCCACTTCTTAGAATTCCTCCATCGCATTTCATTGAACTTGGAATAAAATTGAAAGTCCTGCTGCCCGTGAGGTCCTACATGCTCCGGCCTCCATCTGACCTTCTCTGCCATCTCACCTGGAGCCACACGGTCACATATCACACCTCTGTGTCTTCTCTCTTTCTTTAATGGACCAGCCATTCTTCGTACTTCCTGTCCCTTTCACTCTTTGCATGGCTGGTCCCTTTTCATTCTTATGGCTCTTCCCCAAGAGGCCATCCGTGCCCTCTCCAGAGAGGTGTTGATTGGGAGAGAAAGAACAGCCCACTTATTCAAGGGCCACAAGAAAAGGAAGAGGGTATAGGTAGGGGAGGAGAGGGTAGCAGGATCTACCGCTGTGGCCCTCACTCAGGAGGCCCTGTGGGAAGTGTGGAAGGAGAGAGCACCACAGCACAGGAAGGGAGCTGCTGGGCTGCAGAGCTGCAGAGAAGCAAGCAGGCCTGCCTCAGGCAGACCTCAGCCCTGCCCCTTGAGTGACCTCCCTCCCCTTCCTTGACCTGCCCAGCCCAGCCTATTTTCTGCTTTTTCATTTTCTTGCAGTTTATCTAGATTGTCAGGGCAAGCTTGTGCTTTGCTCTGGCCTTGGGAGTCTGTCCCAGGGGAAAGTACAACTTGTTGGGAGATCGGGAGGAAGGGCCTAGTGCTGCCTGACTGCCCTCAGGAGCCAGCTTTTTTTGATCATTCATGGAAGCACTGAGATTTAATGATCAGGGGGGAAGGCTTCCGGGTTCCCAGGCTCTCTGGTACCTCTCTGCTCCCAGATCAGCCAGAGGTGGCCGAGGAGGGAAGAAGCCAGGCTGCTGCAGGGGTAGAGGATGGGGAAACTTCTTGTCCCACTCCAGGCATGTGCCCTGCCTCCCAGATGGGGCCTGGTGGGGCAGCTTTCCCTAACCCTGACCTGTTTTCCTCCCTGATTTACCAGAGCAGCCTGGGAGCATCCTGGACCCCGAGTGTGCCTCCTGCAAAAGAGTGTTTTCTCCCTACTTCAAAAAGGAGCCCGTGTACCAGCTTCCCTGTGGCCACCTCCTGTGCCGGCCCTGCCTGGGTGAGAAGCAGCGCTCCCTGTCCATGACGTGCTCAGCCTGCCAGCGGCCAGTCGCCAGCCAGGATGTGCTGCGGGTCCACTTCTGAGTGACTGGTCTCAACCTGAGAAGACCCATTGCTGGGCGGAACAGGAGTGTGGGGGGGGGTCATAGCTCCCCTGAGGTCTGGCTGGGGTCACAGGTCCCCAGAGAGGCCTCTCCTTTCCCAAGGGCTTTCCTGTTATCGCCTCCCACAGTGCAGCACAGGCCTGGAGTGCGGGCTCGGGGAGGGTCACTCCACTGCTACGCCAGTGGCAACAGGATAACAAAGCCATAGTTTGGGCTGGGAAGGATGGGGTAGATGCCCCTGCCCTCCTGTATCTCCCCGACACCCTCCTACCAGAGCCCTGCGCCTGCTAGAGCCAGCCCCACCCTGGTTATCTGCATTCACCACCCCCTCCCCGCCCCGCAGGGTGGATGTGCGTGGAGCACAATAGACTGTGGCTCAGGGTCTCAGAGCCTCCACCTTCAGTGTCATCCAAAAGTGGACCACGGCAGGGGTCTGTGAAGTGAATGACTCAGCCCCCTACTGGCCGACTACGCTGAGCCTTAATAAAGTGATGATTGACGTCTGCTGTGGGCTTCCTCCTGGTAGATTACTGGCCTGTGTCGTCATACTCCTGTTCCCCACCTGCACTCACACAAAGTGGGACTGTCACAGGCAGCTGTGAGCAGTCACCTAATCAGGCTATACAATTCAGGTCAATGGCCTAAAGGGACAAGAGGTTGTATTTTCAGATGTGTGGTGAGGGTTTGCAGGTGGGCGTGCACAGGTGGAGAGGGTTGAATGCCCTCCCTGGGGCTGGCTGCCAGTGCGAACTCAGCTGCCTGGTAGCAGAGCTGGCTGCTGCCCTCGGGAGGAAGGCAACTTTCCTGCCTGAGACCTATTTCCAGAAAACTCTTTGTATATAAGCTGCATTTCTTGTTCCATTCAAAACTTGGTTTAATGGGGTCTCAGAGAGAAACTGTATATTCCTACAACTGTTACGGAATAGCTTCTAGTCACTAGAAGAACGTCAGTGAGAAGCTACACTGTGCTTTTCCCTCTTACCTTCTGAGGATGTCTGGGAAGGCGCAGCCCAGAGAGGTTCATGTTTTATCCTTGAGATTCTGTTGTAGGCCCTGTGGACAGGCCGTGGGAGCCCTCTAGCCACGCAGGGCTCTGGGCTGCCTGCTCTCCCTCCCTCCCTGCCCATGGGCCTGCTGCCTTGCTCCTGATGGGGAACTTTGGGCATGGAGGCCGGCGTTCACACTGTTTTCCATGCTTTACACATGGGGCAGAGAGAACTACAGTCCATATACTGACTGAGGAAGGGAGTAGCTAATTAAAAATTCGGATTCTTGAACTCCAGTCCAAACCCAAGAATTTAGAGATCTGGGTTGAGGTTTGGGAATCTACATTTCTGAGAGTTCCTCTGGGATTCCTATGCCCTAAAGGTGGCAGAATCCTTCCCTCTGCCTCCTGGTGGCACTTCCCTTGACGCAGCCTGACATGAGACCAGGGTCTGCACTGGAAGGCTTTCCTCTTGGCTGGCAAGGCTCCCGTGTGCCCTTTGGCTTTAAATGTCTGGGCCATTTTAGATTCTTGCCTTACCCTCCTCGAGTGCTCGTGTTCTAAGAAGAGTCCCAGCATTTGTAGCAAAAGCACTGCTGGTGGGGGCAGGGGGACGATTCCTACCCTCAGCCTGTCACAGTCTCAGGGCAACAGTCTAGTTCCCACAAGCAGGTTGGCAGCCTCAGGGAGCCCCTCTCTCTGGGAGTTGTCCTGTCTGCCCCACCCCTGGGAGCCAGAGGAAGCCACCAGCATGGAGTCAGCATGAAGCGTGCCCAGATGAGGGCAAGCTACCTCCTCTCCTGCTGAGGGCTCGGTGGGAAACTGGGCATGAAAGCCACTGGGGTGGGACAGTTCCTGTCCTCCAACCACATGGAGCCACACCCACATCCGTGGAGATACATCCATTTTCTCTCATTTTAAAGAGCCCCCGCCCCCCCCACCCGGCCCCAAAGGAAGTGGTTGTTTTAAACACTCTTGCTAGAAACACGCTAAGCATTTCTGGGCTCAGTTTCTCTCCCGTAAAAAATAGGAATAACATTTTTCTTGCTGCCAAGTAGGCTCAGAAACATTTTATTTCTAACCAGTAAATACATGGGCTCCATCGACTGAGAGACTCGGGACGCAAAGCCTTGACATGACCCACTGAGCGCTTGCCCCACCACAGGTTCTTTGGGCCACACGTCTTTTCCCTTTTCTCTCTCATTTACTCATCACGAAGCCTGTTCAGGGCGTGCAGCTCCAGGCCGTCGAGAGCAGGAGGCTGGGCTGTGGCACCTGAGATTTTGCGACACAGGACCCCAGTGCTCATCTCCAAGGTGCAGAGTGAGACCTTGCCCGTGTCCTGACCATCGTCTCTGTGGGGCGAAGGTCCCAGCCCTTGACCCCTCTCTGCCCTCATTCGCAGGGGCTGGGCCGTGCTCTCCGTCATGCTCTCTGCTGTCGCCCTCCAGCCCCGGAGCAGGCGGATGGGAAGGCCGCTCAGCAGTAGTCCTAAAGGTAGAAGAAGTAGAAGAACCAAATCGCCAGGAAGAAGACGAGAAGCTGCTCAGTGCTCACAGAGTATTGCACTGCCCGGCAGCGGGGCCGCAGGACCCTGCAGCACCTGGGCCCTGGGGTAGAGTAGGTTGCTGCATCTCCATGCCTGCCCTGCTTTCTCCTGTAGGTCTCCAGCTTGAGGCTGCTCAGCGGCTGGGTGCTTTTCCATACCCCAGGAACCGGTCCTCTGCCGCCTGGGTTTTGTAAGTAGGTCTGCAGACAAAGAGACCTGCCCCTGGAAAAAACCACCTGCCAGGCTACTGCTCACCTCCCGCCTGCAGTATTGTGATGCTGGGCTGGCTGCCATTGTGATGGCCACTGGGTGGGGCAGGGCTGCCTCAAGCTGGCCCCTCTGCACGCTGTCAGCTTCCTGTCCAGCCCTCTCCACAGCCCACTCTAGCCTACTGACCTCTCAACCTGCTTGGACAGGTAGGATCTTTCCTTCCAGTTTTAGGAAGGAGAGTGGATGGGTTGGGAATTACCAAGGATGCACTGTCAGGTACAGTAACCAGTAGCCACATGTGGCTATTTAAATTAGTTAAAAGTAAAAAAAATTAAAAACTCAGTATCTCAGTCACACCAGCCACATTTCAAGTCCTTACTATTCATATGTGCTAGTGGCTATTCTATTGGATAGCACAGATATAGAACATTTCTGCCATCAGAGCAAGTTCTGTTGGACAGTGCTGGACCAAAGTAGGAACTTGTGCGACTGGCCCTCGGTGCGGCCCTTTGCTCTTATGAACCTTCCCATGAAGGGGCCAACTGCGTCCAGAGAACGGGCCCAGGAACAAATCGTTTACATGTACATAACTTTGCATGTATTACCAAGGAGATTACAGAGACTTTGAAGGCCATATGTATTAAAAAAAAAAAAAAAAAACCCTTTGCCATTCAAAAGTTAAAAAAAAGTTTCTATGTATTGAGTGCACTGTTCTGGGCATCATGCTCTGTGCTTTATATGTATTATCTCATTTAATACTCACAACTCTTGGAGAAAAGAGGAAGCCAAGGCTCAGTTCCATGAAGAGCTCATCTGACTGGCTCCAGGGCCACCAACTCCTAACTCCTGAGATGCTCTCTAGGTAGCAGAGGGTGGCAAGGAGCTACCTCGATTCCCTCCTACAGGGATGGCCTGGATATTGTCACCGCAGGGCCTCTGTGGATCCCTCCATGCAACTGGGACTTTGTGCAGGGCACAGGGGCACTGCTAGCACTGACCTAGAGTCCAAGCTCAGCTGGTACTCCCAGAACCAGAGGCACAAAAAAGGCAATAGAATAACTCATGACCAAGTTTTAGAAAATTCTACATTATTACACCTCTAGGCACAAAAATAAAAGATGTTTCCTTAAGAAAGGCTCAGCGGAGTTAACTTCATGTAAATGGATACATCTCCTGGTTGAAATGTCAATGGAAAAGTATCTGTGTGCTCTTGGGCAGACTTTGGCCCAAAGCAGTGAGTGCTAGGATCCTATCAGAAGTGGCTGCCGTTAACGCAGATAGTGATCCCAGCTGTGTGATGAGTATGGCTGAAGGAGATCCAGTTTGAAAAGGAAACTGGGTGTTGAGAAACAATAACCAAATGTGCCCTGTGTGGTCCTGGGGGGCGGGGGCCGCGGAGAGGACAGCATGAGGGATGGACAGAATGGAGAGGGGTCCCAGGAAGATGTCAAGAAACAGGCAAGAGCAGGGAGGAAGGGGGTGCTGCTGGCACTCTCTAAACCCATAAACAGAAGTAGAGAATCGGTGGAGGAGACAGACACAGGCAGGCCTCCCCCTCCCACAATTGCTGATACCTTCCCCTTGGGCCCAGGGCCTAGACATCAACTGTGACTCAGCTGATTTGAAATGCACCCCCATGGCTCATTAATTAGGAAGCCTGTAATTAGCCTGTCTCAGAAACCAGGATCCTCCAGAGAGAGCCCCTCTCACCTGCCTTCCTCTCTCTCTCACCCAAAGGATGAGATCAGGCTGGGGGGGATCCGGCCGCTGGGAATGAGGAGGGGCCGGGAGCACGAACACAAGGGGAAATGAGATGCCGGGGCACGCGCTCATGCATGAGGTGGCCTTGGTAAATTGACCTTCTATAATGAGATGACGGAAATGATGGTAAGCGCCTCCAACCCTGAAAGTTTCCTCATTTAAGAACCCCAGGGGCAGGAGGGGGCACAGCCTGCCTGTGCCTGCTTGAGTTTGGTCTGTATAATGCCATGTGGTTCAGTCTTGGAGTGATCTGGAGCAAAAGGAACACAGATTCAGCAACATGCCATTTCACACCGAGATGTTACTCAGCAACACTTCGTAAAATTCTTCTTTGGTCCTCCCATCCACTTCCCACACCTCTCCCATACCTCTTTGTAACACCTCTTAGAAAAATCTATTCAAACTTTAGTCTTCATCCTTTCCTCACTGACCACTGTGACTATTTTAAGGGATTGTGCCAATCATTTGACACTCCTTCCATCCAAAGTGTCACTCTGTTCCTTCTCTTGACTCTGGACGGGCTTCTGGTGGCTTCGACACATCCAGTGTGACAACAGTAACCATATATGATTTCTAAGACTACCATAAAGTCCTACGTCACTTCTGACTCATTCGTTGACTCTCTCTCGAAGCCCTGAACCACCACTCAGGAAGTCCAACTATCTCTAGGCCACCGAGCTGTGAAAAGCCACACAGGCCACAGTAGGCAGGAGCTCCAGGCAGCAGTCCCAGCTGAGCCCAGGCTTTGGGTCATCCCAGACCAGGCGCCCAGGAATGTGAATGAGAAGTCTCCAGATGATTCCAGTTCCCAACCATTCACTATTTCCAGTGGAGGCCCCAGACATTGTGGGGCAGAGAAAAGGTGTCCTTGCTGTGCCCTATTTGGACTCCTGACCTTCAGAATCCATGAACAGAATAAAATGTTTTGAGCACTGCATTTTGGAGTGGTTTGTTACACCACAGTAATAACTGGAACAATCACAAAATCCTAGACAATTGCT